TTGACGAAACTTAGCAATAGAAATAAGATTCTTTTTCATTATAGGTACACAAAGAATGTTATTAAAAGAAAAAGTGTAAGACAATGTATAGAGAGATTTTGAACCGGTATGGGTAATAGGGAGACCCGTGCCATCACCAATCACAATGTCATCAGATCCATCATAAGGAGTGTGAAAGGAGAGATTACTCAGGTCTGTGGTAACATGGTGCGTCAAGAAGCCAACTAGAATTATCAAGAATGTTGGCGGTTGCAAGATTGGTTTGTGGTTTCCATGGAGCCAGAGGGCATGGTTGCCATGGAGTTTAACGAGAAGCCAGAGGTGGTTGTAAGGTCGGATGCATCTTACGAAACATAGGACACTTTCAAACAATGTGACCCTGAACACGACACCACTGGCAACAACCCAAGTAGGGTCGAGGAGGTGGACGACCATCCCGGGTTGCGGGTTGGAGGAGTACCAGGTAAGAGCACTCACCAGAAGTGGGAAAGAGGACACCCACTATGGGCGTTGAGTACAATTGCCAAAGTTTCCTAAATTGACTCAAGAATTAGCTGGATTTGCAAAAGCTGGAAGTAGAAAAGAGTTAAAAAGATGGAGACGTAGTGAGAGTTCTTTGTTGATTAATTTTTCATGTAGTTCATCAGAGGAAATCGGCGTTTCACGGCCATTAATGACGTCAACAATAAGCTTGTAATCATCAACAAGGCCGTTGAGAATTTTCTCAATGAGGTCCTCATTGTCTATAGGCTTGCCGAGGGCCGCAAGTTCATTAGCACAAGTTTTAATAAACTACATATAATGATTTCTGGGAGCCTTGTTGGCTTGTTTGATTTGTTCATTGATCTGCTTAATGTGACTACAAGAAGGTCAGCCGTAGGTATTGGCCCGAATATTCCAAGCTTCACGGGAGGTCTTCAATTAAGTGATAAGAGGCATAAGAGAATGTGTGAGGGTGCCAACGAAGGCACCAAAAATCAGTTTATCTTAGCGAAGCCATGTTTGGTATGCTAGATTAGGATCGGTGATATTATTTGCAGTAGTTGTGGCAGGAGGAGCAGGTGAGAGCCATCAATGAATTTTTGAAAATCACAACCAATTAGAATTGCTTCCATCTGTAGTTTTTAGGAGAGATAATTGGTAGATGTGAGTTTTACGGAATTGTTGGTGTTGATAACGATAAGGGGTTGGTTGGTTCATGTGTATTTGGGATTATGGCTTGATTATTTTCATTGGTTGGTTGGTGCCAGATGAGAAGGTGCAGCGGAGACTGGTGTTCTTGGTGGTAGAGATATTCGAATTTTGCAGTTCCAGGAGGAGAAAGCTCTGATACCATAAAAGGTTTAAATGAATAAGAAAATTATGGCATTCCTTTCCATTGAGTAAAATCATATATATTTAGCGTATAACTGAAATTCTATTCTAAGTAAGTCAAATTTTACAATAAGGAAACTAAATAACAATCAGGAAACTATCTAGATAAGTATAAGAAATTCAAACTACGAAATCCTAAGAATCCGAGATTATCGTATTCTAAGTAAGTCAAATTTTACAATAAGGAAACTAAATAACAATCAGGAAACTACTTAGATAAGTATAAGAAATTCAAACTAAGAAATCCTAAGAATCCGAGATTATTGATTTTCTCTATCAAAATCTCTCTAGAAGTTATTGTAGTTTACCTTTCCTCACAGAAGCCTACCATTGCAGGACAAGATCCAGCTGATCAGTTTTACTATGGACATCCATATATAAACACATTGACAAGGAAAAAACTTGCCTTAGGCCGAATAAGTAAGGCTCTCCTTCTGATGTTGATATGGATCAATAACATGACATGCGTAAAAAAATATTAAAAAATTAAACCTGAATCATTCGGATCTTTTCACAGGTCATCCAAAAAAGAAGATGATTTTTTCTCACGTGTGTGTGAGACCTGGTAGTAGGCTCTCTCTCTCTTTAACTCACGATTGTTTCTCTCTTCCCACTAAATCCCCATTGATACCCGCTATCTCCCCAATTGTAAAACCCTAATATTATTAATCCTTTCTTCCGCCAGCCGACCTCCACCACTTCCATTGCTTACCACCTCCTTCATTCCCAAACCATAATCTTTTACATCCAATCTTTAAAAATGATTCAAGCTGCTAATTAATAAATACGCATAACTCTAGTGTAATCCAAAATTTTGAGATTTATCATCACTTGCCAAATTGATTTCCTTAAACTCCATTGGTAATTGGTGTCTTACAATTGTGGTTAATTTACCACGTTTAGGTTAATTATTTAGTTTCTTCGGTAACGGATTGCAATATGAAGGGTTTGGAATAGAAAATATCACACGTATGAGGAAAAAAAATCTTTCCTTTTGGATGATCCGCAAAAAAGTCCAAACAATGTTTTTTTAATTATTTTAAAAAGTTTTTGACACATGTTACATTTTTATTGATTCATGTCAGCATCATAAGAGCATTTCTATTTATGCAGTCTAAGGCAAGTATTGTTCTATTGACAATTAAACAACTATTAAAGTTACCAACTTACCACTAACCCCAGAACACGACTGAGGGCTTATAGTGTCCCTTTATTTCAACAACAAAATTACGGTACATGCAGTTTAGGAGTTCCCAACTCCTTATATTTAGTCACCGCATATTGGCAAAGTTCCATGACACACTGCATACAGATCAACAATAACATTCTAATTACAAGCTTTCCACACGCCATTTTACATTCTATGTAGTTCAACTATGAACTCCAAGGTCCACAAGGACCACAAATCATGCATATGCAGTCTTCACTGCATTTGTTTCATCAATTACACAGACGCAACCCTCACCACATTCGAAATAGGTCTTGCCTGCATCGGGGCCCTCAGACTTGGTGACGACACATGTCCATCCTTCGCCAACCTTGCAGAATACCTTGCCGCTCTCAAGACTGTCTTGCATGTTTGAGATCTGATCAACGTTTGTATTCCTAAGAAGATAATGGATGAATTAGTGCAAAAACCCTTATCTGGTTCGCCTTACATATCTAAGAATTCAATTCTCTTTTTGAACATAAAAAAGAGAATTGAATTACACTTGCATTTCAATTATATACCATAACAGCATGCTTTTTGATTATATGCCTAAAATTCCATCACACATATGATGCCTCATTCTTCCAGTTTTATTTTTAAATTTCAAGAAATGCAATGAAAAAGAACAGAAACAACTTCTTCAATGAATTATATGACCTCAAATTTGATAGAAATAATACGTTTTAGGTATGTTATACGTACGTGACCCAGGTGCAGCTGCTACCAGCACATTTGGAGAAAGGTGTGCCCGCTTTAGCCGTCTCTGTCTTAGTGATTGTACAAGTCCACCCCTCACCCACCTTGCAGAATACCTGGCCCCCTTTCACTGTCATTTCCCTGCAAAATTAATGATTTAGTGATTGTACAAGTCCACCCCTAGGGCTAGATCAATTTACATGGTCGTTTATCAGTCCAGTGTATTCCAATACCCATACTGTACATGTATGTAACATACCTTGAATATTATACAATTTTATTTAAATTTTTGAAAAAAAAAAAAAAAAAAAAAAAATTGCATTATCATCACTTGATCTGTAATTTTTGAGTCATTCTCTTTTTATATACTGTATTATATATTTTTTATCTACATCTATCTATATCTATAATATAAAAAAGTTTCACATCATTTTTAATTTTTTAAATGCATTTTCTATTTTTATAATTTTGTTATTCAGATCATTTTTTATTTTTAAATGTATTTTCTGTCTTTATTTCTTTTGTGTTTAATTTACTTTTTTTGTAGGACAAGAGGACGTATTTATTTTTATAAATTTATTTATTTTTTAATTTCAATTCCAAAAAAAAAAAAAAGAAAAAAAAATTCGAATTATATTTCAATTCTACATGAATTCCAAAATTGGTACGAACATTATATTTGGAATTGAATTTGTTGAATTTCAATTACATAAAATTGGAAGTCAAATTCAATTCAATTCAATTCAATGCAACTAAATGCACCCTTCAAGTATTTAGAATTCCACGTCCACCGACGGTTACAAACACTGCTTATCATCATTTTTGTTGGATAAATTTGCGCATGAAATCATAGCATAGTGGGTAATTCTATTCCCTCCAATGTCACCCCACTTAGATTCAAGGTCCTTGTCTCTAAATTCTAACACCTTCTCTATTCCCACCTTACTTTTTATTTTCAATTTAGGCTCCATTTGTTTGGATGTTTTTTGTTGGAATTGGTTGTCATAAAATATTTACGAAGACAAAACAAAAATAATTTACTCATTAATTTTCGACAAATTATTTTACATGCCCGCCCGATAGACTCGACCTCAACCTTGACCTAGACATTTACTAAATATAGAAAAATAAAAAATTATTTTTTTCCTGAAAAAGAAAAATATTTTAAGAAGAAATATTTTTGTTTTTTGGAAAACCAAAGCAGCAATTTACCTCAGTTGTCTGCCTACTCTCTATGAAGTGATCAGATAAGAATACCAGAATAATTGATCCCCAGTGGTACATTGTTACATATCTTCTGCCTAATGACTACTTACCAACATTGAGAAGATGAGAAAAGGAGATCAATAATCCATGTTAGAGACTACATGAAATGATAGTAATTTAGTAAAATAACAGAAAAAAAAAAAAAAAATTATTAGGATGACATAAATGAAACCTGAGAAACTGCTGGCCAGTGCCTGAAGCCTCCATCTTACTGAATTTTCTGGTCCAATATTGCAGCCTTTTATGAACTAAAAATAGCATATTTTTTTATTTTTGGCGTTTTGTCTGGGCATGGATTCAGAATCATGTACTTAGTTTCAGTTTTCAGTTTCCAAGTTTCTTAGATATACAATTCTCCGATTTTCTCTCAGTGGAATAGTTTGCATATCTAATTTTGCTAGGGGTGCAACTTGGGCAGGCTAGCCCAGCCCAACCCGAGTCCAGCCCATAAATTTTAAAATCTGGACATATAAATTCACAATTCGGGTTTAAGTCGGGTTGGGTTTTTTCAAAACCCAACCTTATTCGGTTTGGGCTGGGTTCAACCCGAACCCAACCCGAGAACCCAAATTAAACATTTCATAAAAAAAAATAAAAATCCACGACAAACACATATCACAAACCCTAACTTTCTCTCTCCTCATCCTTCGCTAACACTCTCTCTCATCATCCTTCTCTTCTCTTCTCTTCGCTAACTCTCTCTCTTCTTTCTGTTACTCTCTCTACGGCCATTCATGGGCAGAGTTGAGAGGGGGCGAAGCTTGAGAGTTGAGAGGGGCTTAATTTTTTTTTTTTTCTCCTTTCTTTCTCTTTCTCTCTCTTCTTTTTCTTTCTCTTTCTCTCTCTGCCGCCGTCCATGGGCGAAGCTTGAGAGTTGAGAGACAGCGGCTGAAGCTTGCGAACGGCGAACCCGAACTGGAAAAGCAGGCGATGGAAACTGAAAGATATGGGTTTTGATTTTTTGAACAATCTGAAATGAAATGCCGATTTGGGTTTTGATATAGGTAATAGGTTTTGAACTTTTGATTATTGCAACAGATAGATAAACTGAAATATACAGGTTTTGAAATTCTGATTCTTGTAGATTTAGTACCTTGCAGTTGCAGAGAGAGAGAGAGAGAAGGCAAGTTCAGAGTTGAGAACGTGAAGAGAGATGGAGGCGGCGATTGGTAAGGCTGAAACGATTTGCCCTTAAATATATATATATATATATATATATATATAATAAAAATAATATAATAAAAAAATATAATATACATATATATATAATATATGATATATATAAATTTCCCAAAAAAAAAAAATAATTAAAAAAAATCTCAACCCGTCAACCCGACCCAATCCGCCCGAAAAAATTCAGTTCGGGTTATGACTACAACCCATGTTGGGTGTAATTCGGGTTGGCCCAACCCAACCCGATTCGAGTTGAGGTTGGGTTGGGGCTGGGCTGGGTTGGGCTAACCCAACTTGCAATCTTAAATTTTGCTAGTTCTCAAAAAGTCAAAAAGTACTTGCCATTTACAACTTTTTGACTTTGTTTTTAATATTAATAATGTTTAACTATTTATCAGTGAATAACTTCATCCTATTCATCCTTTGTGTATTTCAATAATAAAATATCACATCAGTTTTAATAATCAAATAACTGAAAAAATTGACGTGCAAAGAGTGTTGGGGGGTGGTAATGGATGTGCAGCGGGCCGGCATAAGCCGAAGCACGTGGTCCATTTGATGTCTGTCATCTCACCCAAAAAAACTTAAAACTACTATTATATTTACACTTTGTGACCAAAGAGTCCGACAACGACTCAGATACCCCTGAATGGCCCAAAAGATTCTTCGTATGGCGTCAGTCAAATTGAAAATTAAATAGTACTCAAAAATTTAAAACTTAAATTTTAAGTAGTACTAAAGTTTTTATGTGTTAATTAAAAAATAATTTTTATTTTTTTATATATTTTTAAATTTTCAATATCTATCACTTAAAATTTTATCATATTTTAAGTATTGCTTATCATTTTTAATGATAATTAAATTATCTTATCAAACATTTAATTGAATTAAATACTTATCAAACACATTTAATTGAATTAAATAATTAAATTATATAATGTGGTTATAATTTCAAGGCTCTCTTTATTCCTATCTAATTTTAAAAATTATCGTGTCACAATACGAATCCTCTCATTCAAAAGAGAGGTCAGAGCATTCAACCACTCTTATACAACAATATAAATACAATATTATCTAATATTTATACTTTATAAGTTGTTATTTTTATTGGTTTGACTAGGAGGCATAGCCTCTTGTAATTGCACCTTGTGGATGACATGTGACCCCGATTTTGCTATAAAAAAATAAAAAAAAATAAAAAAAAAAATGCTTAGCTACTCATTTCTTGTGTGTTTCAATAACAAAATACCATATCAGTTTTAATAACCAAATAATTCACGTTCTCCTGTATATTCTTATTCTCTAATTGGACGCGGTTGACTTTTTTGTTAAAGCTGATATGGTATTTTATTATTGAAACACATGAAAAGTGAGTAAGGTAAAGCTACTCAGTTAAGCATTATCCTTTTAATATATCTATGTGTGTGTTTGCATATCCAATTTTGCTACGATTCTAAAATAGTCGAGTCAAAAAACGAGTAAGAAGAGGAAGGGGACAATAATGCTCTTAATGCTCTTTTGTTTTAATTCCGGTGGCAAGTATTAAATTTATAGCTAAAAATATTTCTCCACCGGCGCGGGGAAAATTTTGGTTCACTACCACCTTTTAGTCAACAACAAAACTAATTAAGAAAATATTTCAATTGCTCATCTTTTTGTGAACTTTGAATTCACCTGTCACAATAAAATTGAAAGAAATGCTATAAATTCTCATTCTTTCTCTATAATAGTACATAAATAAATAAAAATCAAACATATGAAACTTGATGAAAGCAAATACTTGTAAAAGTATTAGAATTAACTTTTGAACAAACGTTCAACTCAGTCGTAGAGAATAAGAGTAGATTTTTGTATTACACTGACTATGGTTGTATATTGATTGAACCTATATGAACAAAGACTTAATTGAATTTTTTAATTTTTTTAAAAAGAAAAATAGAATTAACAGAAAAGAGTTTAATCTTATATTACAGTTGAAACAGATTGTGGACGCTAGATTCACCACTTATATAGTAAAATCGAGAGCGTAATCTGTTAGAACTTAATCTTTTATTATTGTTGAAACAATGCTGACGTTGAAACTCGATTTCTCAAAATTATTGAGTTTGAATTCTAATTGATCTCTTCCTTCCCGTATTTGAGATTGTATACATATTCATTAATGTACCAAATAAATTTAATATTTTTTCAATTTGGGTATAAAAATAATTGTATTCTTTTAGAAAGGGAAAAAAAAAAAAAAAAATTGAGATTCGATTTAACCAATAAAAAAATGCGTAATAATTATTTTTAGAAAATTTAAAATATGTATTTATAAATTCATTGGAAAATAAGAATATGTGAGGATCCCATCTCTATGCATTTAAAGGAACAAGAATTCACATGGGCCCATGTCCATGCATTCAAGGGCCTTCAGAAACTCTCCCATCTCTATGCATTCAAGGGCATACAGAAACTCTGGCCGGCCATTGGTTCATTTTACTTTTTAAGGTATAATTTTAAGAGAGCTGTTATATGTTTATTAATAAAAAGACAAAATTAACCCTTTACTAAATTACTACCTCAAACGTCCTCCTTTCTCTTCTCTCTCCTCTCCTGTAGCTCTCTCACCTTTATTCGGTTCTCTCTGAATGCTTCCTTTGTTTTTTTTCTCAAAAGATCATATATATATATATATATATATATATTAGCATCAACAGCAAAACTAATTAAGAAAATATTCCAATTACTCATCTTTTTGTGAACTTTGGATTCAGCCGTCATAATAAAATTGAGAGAACTATTATAAATTCTCATTCTTTTTCTACGATAGTACATAAATAAATAAATAAAAATCAAACATATGAAGCTTGATGAAGGCAAATACTTATAAAAGTATTAGAATTAACTTTTCAAATAGAAGAAGAACAAACGTTCAACTCAGTCGTAGAGAATAAGAGTAGATTTTTCTATTACATGGACAATGATTGTATATCGATTGAACCCATATGAACAAAGACTTAATTGAATATTTTTATGTTTTTACAAAGAAAAATAGAATTAAGGGAAAAACGTAAAATCTTGGGATTTCTCATGTTATTATTGTGAACTTTGGATTCACCATGTATAGTGAAATCGAGAGTTTAATCTTTTATTATTGTTGAAACAAAGTTGATGTTGAAACTCCAAAGTTTTTTAGAATTATTGAGTTTGAGTTCTAATTGATTTCTTCCTTCTCATAATGATTGAGTTTGAGTTCATATAATGTAACACAATTACATGCCGCATATGCCTTTTTACTTGAGTCCTCCCATTGGATGATGAACTTTATCCTCCCAATTGATATAGTCCAATACAATTTAAACACATATCCAAAATTTTAAAATTTTTAATAATGATTATTATCCAACTGCTTACTTGTTAAATCCGAATCTAATTTTTTTCTTTTCCCTATTTAAAATTTGTAGGAGGGTAATTTACACAGACATTCCCTATGGTTTGTCATAATTTCCCTATGATTTATCATAATTATATGGACCTTCCTGCTTAACAATGAAAATATTCTACACGGACCTCTCTTATATGCGATAGACTGTCAAATACATTAACGGACCTATCAAAATTACTGAAATACCCTCACGTTGCCATCTGAAATTACTAAAATACTCATATGTTATTAACTAAGTATGACGTCAATGTGTCAATTATACACAGCTGTCTTATACTACCTTAAACATATAGTTTTGGAGGAAAATTTGCCATCAATGTGTACCTTGCAATACCTCTTGAGTTCGGAACACGGGTCGATCAAGTCCGCGCACGAAATCGAAGGAAATATCATAACAATTAGCTAATAAACAAACATAAAATACAAAAAGATAAATAAGAATAAATAATAAAACTGAAAGAAACTAAATAATAAATCCTCTATTAAAATAATCTAGTACAATTATAATCTATAATAAGCATTACATTCGGATTTTTTATTTATTTATTTATTTTTGTATTATATACTCATAAAATTATAATCTATAATAGGCAGCGGTACAAAGATTTCCACGACACTTAGTTAACAATCATGATGGTATTTTTCTCGTCACGGAGAATAGTCAGTTATATTTTAGACTGTTCAAATCAATTTCGTACTTCAGTTTTCACGCAAGCAAAATGGTACAAGAATAAAAACAAAAAACAGAATAGTAAGAGAGAGTGTGTTTAGAAGTAGAAGTGGTCATCTTTATGCTGTTATACTCTAGAGAGACCTTTTATAAAATAACAAATAAAACCTATAATAACAATCTACAAAAGAAATAAAATAAAAGGTTGTGGGGATTGTGCGAGTGTCTCGTTGGCCCAATTTTAAAATTATCCCTTTTTCAGTTTATCTCACATTAAATGTTATCTTTACATTTTATTATGCTTTGAAATAGTTTTATATATTATTATTCTTATAGCCAACCTAAAATAATTGATCCGTCCTGTAATGCTACTAAAAAGGACATTTCTAATATTTACAGGCAAGACAATTATACTAATGTCTGTCTGCAAACGGTAGGGTTCCAGCATGGGAGAATTGAAACAGGAATAGACATGGTATTAAATACAATTAATACTAAGTGTATTACTGATAAGACTTCTCCTCCAGAAGCTTCCTTATCCAAAGCATTGGTCAAACCTGCAATTGAAGTTAAAGGCTTCAATCTTACACATCCTAAGAAGAATGAAGAATTTCTTACTCTTCTTACTCAGAAAATTCAAGGACTTAAAATTCAGACTTTATCCCATGATGAATTTGACATAGGTTCTGCTTCTGATGATGTGTTACCTCATATTGAGGTTTTCCAAACTGATTTCACTCAGCTACCTGAGTTAAACAGAATTGTCTATGATAAGAATATCCACTCCAATACAGCTCCTGCTCCGAGTAGATATTATTATCCCAGACCTACACCTCAAGATATCTTGTATGAAGAAGATTATTTTCATACACAGAAATCTTTTCATAGCAAGACCATTTATGAATGGAATATAGATGGCAAATCTGATTATCAGATTTACGAGGTTATTCATCAAATGTTGATGTATAGCCAAGTCTGTAAAATTAATAACAATATTGACCCAACCATTGCTAAATTTGTCGTTGCTGGTTTTACAGGATTCCTTAAAGGATGGTGAGATAATGTTCTCACTGACATTCAGAAAGCTGAAATCTTTTCTGCTACCAAGATAGTGAAAGATGAAGCTACCCAATAACCAGGTCCTGCTCCCGATGCGGTTTACACCCTCATCACCACTATTATCCAACATTTTGTCGGCCCAGAAGGTGCTAATAGTGAAAGGAGTCGTGAACTTCTACAGAATCTAAGATGTCCATCTTTAACTCATTTCCGGTGGTATAAAGATGTATTCTTAGCAAAGGTTCTCCAACTCAATGATGCAAATCATGAACATTGGAAAGCAAAATTTGTGGACGGTTTACCAACCTTTTTTGCTGAAAGAATCAGGAAAAAGCTTAGAGATATGCATAATGGTATCCCTATCCCTTACAGAAACTATACCTATGATGGATTAGTTAATATTGTAATCCAAGAAGGTTTAGCTCTCTGTAATGATCTGAAGTTACAGTCCCAGTTAAAAGCACAAAGATTAACTGGTAGAAAGGAAGTAGGTGAATTTTGTGATCAATTTGCCTACCAGACTCCCTTATCTTATCCTAAACCTAGGAAAAGAAATAAGGTTGAAAAACCTTAGAAAATGAAGTATTCCAAAAGAAAGAATTATTCAAAGGAAAAGGATAATTCTCGACAGTATACTAAGCCTAAAAGGAAATATATTCCTAAAGTAAAAGGTAAAGGAAAGCCCAAAGCTGAGGCTAAATGTTTCAAATGTGGACGCATAGGCCACTATGCAAACAAGTGCAGAACTAAGGAGAAACTTAGTAGTCTTCACATAGAAGATGAACTAAGACTTCAATTAAGTAAATTGTTACTTAATACTAGTTCTTCTGAATTAGAATCATCAGCTGATTATGGGGAAGTTGTTATGGAATTACAGTCTTCTTCTTCCTCTGAAGCAGAAGTTGGAAATCCAAAATGCTCCTGTAATCCCTCTCATGATGATTACTATAAGGCAATTGTTGAAATGAATGGGTTAAGCTTAAATGTTTTGACTTCGACTCAACAATCCTTATTGGATCTTATAGATTGCATTCAAGATCCTCAACTCAAG